AAGGACTTCCAAGACTGAAGGGGAAAAGATCAGGGACGTTTCTCCCCAGCTCCTTGCTTGTGGGTCACTGTGGCCTCTACCAAAGGTCACCGCCTCTCTCAAGGTCACCCTCTCTATGCTATCCTTCCAGGCTCCAATGATCATCCCTCCCTTTCTCCAGGAGTGTGTGACTACTGTGGGGGTTTCCTACACTCTGCTCCCACCTTTGTAAGTTATGCCCTTATTACACCCTCAGACTTCCCCAACTGGATTATGTCCTGTTTTCTGCTGGGACCTGGACTGATACAACCACCTGCCCTGAATTTCCAGGATTGCAGCCATCAGCCCCACCACTGGGCAAGCAGTCCTAGCTCCAGGCATGGGTAGACCAAGGTGTCCCCACAGCCCCCTGCTACCTCCAGTCCCAGCCAAGTGTGAGGTCACTCTCTGTAGGCATTTGGTCTGCAGCCTACTGGCCAGCCTTCCACGATTCTGAGTCCAAGGGGCTCAAGTCAGGACCTCATTACCCCAGATACTCCTCCTTTATGACTTCACCCACTGAAGTCATCTGGGAGACAATGCTGAACGTTCCACCCCAGAGTCTGGGCCTCTAGGAGGCAGGGACAGCAGGCCAGGCCAGCCCAGAGGACTATCCGTCCACAGTGTAAATGAGGACACTGCTGGCCCATGTCTTGCAGGGATGTAGAGGGCAGCCTCAGAGGCACTGGGTGCTCCTGGCACCATGGATGATGCTGCCATCCTCAAGCGACGAGGCTATATCATGGGGATAAATTTGGGAGAGGGCTCATACGCAAAAGTCAAATCCGCTTACTCTGAGCGCCTAAAGTTCAATGTGGCGGTCAAGATCATCGACCGCAAGAAAGCCCCCGCAGACTTCTTGGAGAAATTCCTTCCCCGGGAAATTGAGATTCTAACCATGCTAAACCACCGCTCCATCGTCAAGACCTATGAGATCTTTGAGACATCGGACGGCAAGGTCTATATTGTCATGGAGCTTGGGGTTCAGGGTGACCTCCTTGAATTCATCAAAACCCGGGGAGCCCTGCACGAAGATGATGCTCGCAAGAAGTTCCACCAGCTCTCCTCCGCCATCAAGTACTGCCATGACTTGGACATCGTCCACCGAGACCTCAAGTGCGAGAACCTTCTCCTTGACAAGGACTTCAACATCAAGTTGTCTGACTTTGGTTTCTCCAAGCGCTGCCTGAGGGATGATAGTGGCCGACTGGCACTGAGCAAGACCTTCTGTGGGTCGGCAGCATATGCGGCCCCCGAAGTCCTGCAGGGCATCCCCTACCAGCCCAAGGTCTATGACATCTGGAGCCTGGGCGTGATCCTCTACATCATGGTCTGTGGCTCCATGCCCTACGACGACTCCAATATCAAGAAGATGCTGCGCATCCAGAAGGAGCACCGCGTTAACTTCCCGCGCTCCAAGAGCCTGACCAGTGAGTGCAAGGACCTCATCTACCGCATCCTGCAGCCGGACGTCAACCGGCGGCTGCACATCGATGAGATCCTTAGTCACTGCTGGGTGCAGCCCAAGGTCCGGGGCCTGTTCTCTGCAGCCATCATCGACAAGGAGGGGGAGACCTCAGGGGTCCGTGAGCCCTCAGGGGTCCATGAACCCTCAGGGGTCCATGAACCCTCAGGGGTCCATGAACCCCCATGGGCCCCTGAGTCTGGCTCTGACAAGAAGTCTGTCACCAAGCTGGAGCCCCAGGAGGCACAGCCTGAGGTGAACCCAGAGTCACAAGCCAAGGAGGAGATTCTGCAAGAGGTGTCGAGGCTGTTGGATACCAGAAGCCCAGCCCCTACAGGGGGGCAGCCGAGCAGGGACACCGTGGAAGGGGGCTCCCCGAAGCCTCCAGACACACACACTTAGTGAGCCTCTCACATGGCCCAGGGGCGGGCAGGGAATGAGGCAGAGCTCATAGCTTCGAGCCTGAGCTCCAAAAAAAAAGCCAAGGGACAAGCCATTGAAGGAAGACAGTCCCGGATGAGCCGTTATTTTCGTTTCTTTTCCCTCCCTTTGAACTTGGTAACCCACATGGTAAAAAAGCAATAAATAACTATATTAGTGCAGATTGTAAGGTGAATGTCTTTCCCCAGCTGACTGCGGTCGTCTAAGGAGAGGATCCATCCCACCACACCTCAAGTTTGGAAAATATATCCCAGTGTGCCCAGCCATGACCATGACCTCAGGCCTTCAACCAGAGCAGAGAGCTGAGTGAGGAAGATGCTGCTTCAAGAGGGAGGCTATGAGTGTGGTGCTGGGAGAGGGGGGACATGGAGAGGACAGGACCAAGGAGGGCTGCCTGTACAAGGCTACTGGTGAGGAGGGGCCTGCGGAGGGCAGATGCACCAGCTTCTCAGACTCTCTTCATCTCCCCACCTTAAAGGGCAACATAGTTTTTCTGCTTGGTCCACCAGGGGTTCTCCGTGTCCAGCAGGCTCCCAGTTCTCAATGGCGCCGAGTCACCCCACCCTGTGGCCATTCCCTCAGCTCAGGTAAAGCAGGAGGCTCTGCTGGACAGCCCAGCCACACTCCAGCCCACATGTCCCACAGCTGTGTGGCCTGGATCTCACCCTGTTCCCCTCTAGTCCCAGTCTGTCTCCAGGGGTGATGCTCCCTGCCAGAGTAGATAAGCTGATACTGGTAAGAGACAAGACAGGTGTCCTCACAAGGCATGCCTGACCTCTGTGGCATCTACGTCCCACAGCAGGAGCAGGCTTACACGTAACATCACCAACCACCGTGCTTTGCGGGGCTCTGCTTGGCCTTTCTATGCAGTCCTCACCTCTGTTGTCATGGCCCTTTCTCTTCCCGCTCTGCACTCACCGACTTCTTGTGGACCTGCAGGGTTAACACACCAAGAGGGCAAGAGCCTCAGACTCACCCCACCACCACCCCCCCCCCGAAACCTCCGTTTTAGGAAAACCTGAACCCCAGCCCGCTGGGAGAAGTGAGACCCCGTGAGTGTCCCAGACCTGCCCACTGCAGCCCTCCCCATAGTCAGTCCACTGCTCTGCCTGGTTCTGCCCTCCCCACAGCCCCCTTTCCCACGATGTTCTCATATGCCCTGCCATTGCCTCCCACAGCACCCAGTCTGGCTCCCTCTGCTGAGGGAAGGATCTCAGTGTCTAGCCTTGGAGGTCCTCCCAGGTCTGACCTCTTCCTGGCCGCTCAGCCTCTTCCCTCACCCCCACCCCCCACATACATTTTATAATCATCCCTGCAGACCTTGTCTCTCGCTCCAGGCTCAGCTGAGGAGCCATGGCCTCCACAAGGCCTCCTGGGGGCCCCTACAGCACTCAGCAGCCAGCCACTGAGCTCCACCAGGCAGGCCAGTGAGTGCCCAGGGTCCAGGCACAGAACAGGCCTTGAGTAACACTGGAGCAGTCCCCCAGTTTTTTAGTGAGGACTGCAGGCTCCAGGAGCCCAGCCATGCAGCTTGGCTGATGGTGGAGTGCAATTACAGTGTACACTTGAGTGGAACTGACATAGGGACATCCCGAGGAAGGCTCCTGAGCCGCCTCCTCTCGGTCCCCTCTGCAGCCTGCTGCAGTCCTCCAGGCAGCGGGCAGTGTGCGGCAAGAGGGCCTGGAGTCTCACTGCAGCCCAGCGAGGAGGTGAGCCTGGGTAGGAGGGGCTGCAGGAAGGAGCACCTACTGTGTGCTTTGCAAGTGGGGAAACAGCTCAGAGAGGGGAGACTTCTTGACTGAAGCCACACCTCCCCAGGTGGCCTCACTGGGCTCGACCCTGGCATAGACCTCCTCAGTGACCCTTTCACAAAGGTTTTAGGATCAAGACCCTCAACATGGATGCTGTGTTGCCCTGACCGGTTTGGCTCAGTGGATAGAGCATTGGCCTGCGGACTGAAGGGTCCCAGGCTCGATTCCGGTCAAGGGCATGTACCTTGGTTGCAGGCACATCCCCAGTAGTGGGTGTGCAGGAGGCAGCTGATCGATGTTTCTCTCTCATCAATGTTTCTGACTCTCTATCCTTCTCCCTTCCTCTCTTTAAAAAAATCAATAAAATATATTAAAAACAAAAACAAAGAACATGGATGTTGTGGCCCACAGGGCTCGCTCCCGCCCCTGCACTCTCGCCACATCATGTGCACTAGCGGTCCTTGTCCTCCTCCTCCTCCATGTGGCTAACTCCTAAGACCTCAGCCTTCCCAGCCTCCCTAAGTCCCGTCCCCAATTCTGTCCTCACAGCTCCATGTTCCCAGTGTCAAAGCACAGTCACTACTGGGCATTCCCATTCATTGGTGGGACACTGAACCTCCTGGGCTCCAGGAAGGCCTAAGTCCTTTCTAGTTCACCAATGCATCCCAGCACCTGGAACGGACCCTCAAATGCCTATGGGGTGAATGGACAAATGGGGGCCCACATTTATGGAGAAAACCAAAGCTCAGAAGTGACCTTCCCAGAGTCTACAGGTCTCTGACCCACAGGACTGCCGGTGAGACTTCCGCTGGAGGTCCTCTGGTCCAACCTAACACTCCGCCTCCAACACAGCAGGAGTCCCTGCCTCCGCGTGCACATCTTGGGCAAAGCTGCCTGCTCCACATCCCTGCATGATGCTGAGACCTGCCTCCTCCACCACGTCTTCCAAGAACCAAAGAAGCCACACTGTCCGGAAAAGAGCAGGGTAAGGGGCAGAGAATCCACAACGTGGGTCCGTGGATCAGTCAAGAATGAAGACGTCCAGGAGCACTCCAGATAGAACATTTGGGGCACAGGAGAAAGTGGGGGGGGGTCATCCTCACTCAGCTGTGAGGACAGAACTGGGTCCTGGCCTGCATATCCTCACAAACAGCCCCTTCTGGGACACAAAGGAGTGAGTACTGGTCAGTTAGGCCAAAAAGATCCCCCAGGAGAAAGGGAGCCCCAGGGAGGCCTGGCTGCTGGAGGGCAGTCACCACTGTGGGCTCATCCTGCTGGGACCAGTCATTCCTGCCTGGCACCTGGACTCTGGCTGTCCTGACACTGCCATCTTCCACATGGACCTTCAGACACATGCTCCAAGTGCATCCATAGAGCTGTGCTCTGGGCAACATGTTACATCTGCCTGCCATGTCTTGCCCATTGTCACCTGGTGGATGGAGCGGTGTTGATCCTCTGCATGCCAGCTCCACTGTCAGCCCCTGACCACCCACACAGAAGCAGGTCTTCCTTTGTCTCCCCTGAACACAGAGTACATGGCACACCTGTACTGACAACTTGCTACATGTGGGCATGGGATGCCTGTGACAGGAAACCAATGAACAGCAGGGCTTTCAAACTACGTAAGGTGTATACAGGAGGCCACATTTTCCAAAGCAGAACTCCACACATGTGCCCTGAAATAAGGTTTTCACATTGTTTCCAGGCGCAAAGGACAGTTTCAGAAACGCAAACAATGCTTTCCCAGGGTTCCAACAGCTGCAACGTGCCACTCCTCACAAAGGCCCACACTGACATAATCCACCCAGGTGCTTGCTCCTAACAGGGTGCTGGCTCTCAGCACCCAGGCTCCGCCCAGGCCCTGCCCAATCACTGACCAGCACACTAGCCCGTTGTCTCCCTCTGTCACCCAGAACCCCCAGGCCCACCCTAGTCCAGCCTCCTATTGCCTGGTCAAAGGTACTGGCCTCCACTTTCCCCAAAGCCTAGTCTCTATGCTGCCATCGCAAACTGTGACTTGGGCCACAGCTCTTCTTGCCCTGCAATGGCTGCCTATCCCTCAGGGAAGAGCCCCCACTTACCTTTCCTCCCACCTCCCTCCTGTCTGTGGGACTCAGCCATTCCTAGAACAAGCCCTCTCCTCTCTGACTCTTTCCTACCTGGATGCCTATCACCTCCTCTACCTGACTCTCAACCCATCCTCCAGGCCTGCCCCAGTCCTCAGAGCACATCTGCCAATCTGGGGCCTGCAGCATCCCAGAGCCTGCCTGGCCTTCCACCCCACACACGGCCTGCTCACTACAGCACTCACCCACCCAGCCCTCTACCCCAAACAGAAGCTGCTCTTGTCCACTAAGCTTAGAACCACTGCCAGCCTGGCCAGACCAGAGCAGTCCCTCCCAGACACCGCCAGTTCTGAGGACACAAGCCATAGATGGAGTTTTCTTCACACATCCAGGAAGCTGCAGGAAACTAACCCTAACAAGACAGGAACTAACCCAGGGTCAGTCCCGACAGCCAGGAAAGGAAAACTAGCATGGGACTGGCATCCCTGGGCAGCCGCCACCTTCGGCCTGACTCGTGACAGGGAAGCCCCGGCAAGGAGGAGCAGGGACGGTTACCACAGTCCTAGGTGCTGGCTCCCTTAAGTGGGTGGGGAGTAGGCACTCCTGCCACGCCAGCTGGCTTCCAGGGTTCCAGGGGCCCTGTTTCCCCCGGCCCAGTTCCCACTCCCGGCTGCCTGGCTTTATGACTTCACATGCTGAAGTCACGTGGAGATAATGCTGAGCATTCCACTAGTCCAGGGCAGCCCAGCCAGACGGCTCCCCGCACTGTAAATGAGGACAATGCCTGCTGGCCCACGTGGGGAGGGGATGTAGAGGGCAGTGGCGCCCGCCACTCCTGGCACCATGGATGATGCTGCGGTCCTAAGGAAAAAGGGTTACATCGTGGGTATCAATCTTGGCAAGGGCTCCTACGCAAAAGTCAAATCAGCCTACTCTGAGCGCCTCAAGTTCAATGTGGCGGTCAAGATCATTGACCGCAAGAAAACGCCCTCCGACTTTGTGGAGAGATTCCTTCCTCGGGAGATGGACATCCTGGCGACTGTCAATCATCGCTCCATCATCAAGACCTACGAGATCTTCGAGACCTCAGATGGGCGAATCTACATTGTCATGGAGCTTGGGGTCCAGGGCGACCTCCTCGAGTTCATCAAGTGCCGGGGAGCCCTGCATGAGGATGTGGCACGCAAGATGTTCCGCCAGCTCTCCTCAGCCGTCAAGTACTGCCACGACCTGGACGTCGTCCACCGAGACCTCAAGTGCGAGAACCTTCTCCTTGACAAGGACTTCAACATCAAGCTGTCCGACTTCGGCTTCTCGAAGCGCTGCCTGAGAGACTGCAGCGGGCGCATCATCCTCAGCAAGACCTTCTGTGGGTCGGCGGCATACGCGGCCCCCGAGGTCCTGCAGGGCATCCCCTACCAGCCCAAGGTCTATGACATCTGGAGCCTGGGCGTGATCCTCTACATCATGGTCTGTGGCTCCATGCCCTACGACGACTCCGACATCAAGAAGATGCTGCGCATCCAGAAGGAGCACCGCGTGGACTTCCCGCGCTCCAAGAACCTGACGGGTGAGTGCAAGGACCTCATCTACCGCATCCTGCAGCCGGACGTCAACCGGCGGCTGCACATCGACGAGATCCTCAGCCACTCGTGGCTGCAGCCCCCCAAGCCCAAAGCCATGTCTTCCGCCTCCTTCAAGAAGGATGGTGAGGGCAAGTATCGGGCCGACTGCAAACTGGACACGCGGCCAGGCTCATGCCCCGAGCACCGGCCTGAGCACCGGCCTGAGCACCGGCCCGAGCACCGGCCCGATCACAAGCTGGGGGCCAAAACCCAGCACCGGCTGCATGTGGTGCCCGAGAATGAGGACAAAATGGAGGACAGGCTGGCCGAGACCTCCAGGGCAAAAGAACACCATGTCTCCGGAGCCGGAGCCGAGGTGGGGAAGGCAGGTACCTAGGGTGCAGATGGCTGGGGGGCGTGGTGCACAGTGGCGCCCACGTACACTAAGTAGGCAGGTAGGAGCTGAAGAAGGCACAGGTGCAAGGAACAAGTAAAATCTGTCAATTAAACCACTATTTTGATTACGTTCTATTAGCTTTCTTCTACTTGGTAGCAAAGACATTAATGACTAACCAGCAAATAAACCACAAAGTGTAAACAAGCATTGAGAGTGCCCCCTGAGGAGTCTTTCTCTCCAGGACTCAGCCAACCACCCTCCTTGCGGCGCAGCGTCTCCAGCATAGGGGTCCAGGGACTGGGGTTCAGGCACAAGTTCTCACGGGGAGGCCTGTGGACAAGGAGATTGCAGCCCTGGACCACCTTGCCAGGCTCCCACTGGTCTCCCTGACTTGCCGGTGCCCAAAGCCTCCAGGGCTCGCCAGGTGCATGTTCCCCCACCTCGGGTGCAGCACAGCACTCTGACCCCATCCCACTTCCTCAGACAGCCCTTCCTCAAAGTCTTCCTCCCCTCGCCCCTGGAGGATCCCCTTCATCCTCCAGGCAGGCAACCCCAGCCAAGATCTCTGACCTGCACCCCCTCCGCTGCATCCTGGTCACTCCACACAGCAGCCCTATCTTGTCACCCAGGGCACACTCCCAACAGGCCAGCCACGTACTGGAAGTGGTCAGCATCTGGCCTTAGGTGGCCTTGACTGGACGTCTCTCTCTGCATCTCACTCAAGCCCGCTCAGACCTCTGCTTTCCCATTTCCTGGGGAAACCCTCAGGCCCAAGGCCACTCTTCCCCATGCGGGAAAAGTACCAAAACCCACACTTTGCAGTCCCAGACCTTGGTCCAAGCTCACCCGCTAAGCCCACCCCAGTCCCCTTGGTGGGTCACAGGGCACAGCCAGGACTTGGCCCCTGGAGTTTGCAGGAACTCACCGTCGAGGAGTGCAGGCTGGCGGTGTCCAGAAGGCAGCAGGCTCTGCACCAGCCTCCGGAGGCTAATGGCACTCAGGAGGGCAGAAGAGGACCAATGCAGGAGGACTCAGGAAGATGGCCTAGTGCAAGGGCTGGGTGTGCTCGAAGCAGGACTCCAGTCTGAGGGGTTCCAGGTTGCCTCCCTGAGCAGCGAGCCCCCAAGGGCACAATCTGACCCCACTTGAGGCAGAAGAGACCCATTTGGCAAGCAGCCATGGTCTTGGGCCCCCCAACTCCATGGGAAGCAGCTGGTCCTAGACCTTCTGGGGGTTGGGCACCAATACACTCAGACTGCCAAGCCAGTGCTGGCTGGTGGTGTAAATGGTGCTGCATGAGGCAGGCCCCATTGCTTGACACGGTGGTCCAGGTTACTGTTACCCGGGGCTACTACTGGTGGGAGTGACGAGGTGAGATTGGTCACTCAGCATCCTGAGACTGGCAGTGCTGGAGCATGGGGGAGCTGGGGAGGGGGCAGGAAGATGGAGACAGCCCTGCCCCATCTGAGCTAGAAACCAGGTGCTTAGAAGTCATAGTGAAGCCACTGGGAAGGAACCTCACACAGGAGTGTGGCCTGACACCTATGTAGGACCCATGCAGCCCTGGGCCCAGAGCTCCAGGTGAACCCTAGAGGCTGAGTTCCCAAGAGCTCCGTCCTTCACTCAGAGGAACAGAATTTGAGGTGGGGGTCACAGGGGACCAACATGCTGTGAGCTCAGCTCAGGTTTTAAGCCCAGGAGTGCCACAGAAAGCAATTCAGGTGGACTCAGGAAAGGTGAGACACCTAGCCCTCCAAGCGTATCTTCTCCCATAATCCTGAGACCTCGATGCAAGCAAAGGGACAGCCCTGCAGACTGTGCTATGTGTTCTTTAATTCCTGTTAAATAGAAATGGGCAGGGGTTCCATAGAAAAAAGTACCAGCAAAGCCCTGGGATGCATCCAAGGGCCATGGGGTGGGTCCTGTGCCAGCCTGGCTGTGACATGGCACCTTTCTTCTGTGGCTCCTGGGACAGTCACTGCTTTTGGCCCGGGCCTGGGTCCCCAAAAGGCCGGAGTCCTCTGCTGAATGGACAGCTGCCCTGCAGGCTCCACAAATATCCCGTGAGCCCAGCCCGGGCCTGGCCCTAGAAGAAGTCTGAGGCTTTGCGCCGGGCAGGGAGCTGCAGCAGGTTGTCTGTGATGGAGGCCGGGTCCTGGCTGAGGGGGGTGCGTGTGGCCGAGCCAGGAGCTGGTGTGCTCGTCGGGGTCTGGGGCCCGCCGGCCGGGGTCTTGAGGTGGGCTGAGCGTGCTGGGGACGGTGTGTAGCTGGCCCGCAGGGCCCGGTCTGTGTACTTGCTGGCTGTTCTGCTCACAAGGCGCTGCAGGGCTGGGGACATGGCGGGGCTCAGGCCTTTGGGGGTGAGGCTGGGATAGAGGGGGTGAGCAAGAGAGGTAGATTAGGCCTGATGGGGCACCGCCAACAACAGGGCCTGCCACAGCTCCATAGGAAGACAGACGGGAGACTCCTGGTCATTCTGGGCTGAGGACATCAGTGACCTGGCATACAAGTGTGGCCAAACTTGAGGTGGAGTGCTGGTGCTGCCCTTGGCCATGGGGCTGGGGTGGACCCCAATTTTCTCTAAGGGGAATGATGACATCCATGATCACAGGTCTGACAAGCGCTCATAGTGGGACAACAGGCTTACGGTACCTTTTAGGGATGTGCCTGAGAGGCTGAAGAAAAAAACGAAGGGGGCCCCCACATCCCGGTTCATACAGGGCCTCACTCCGGGCCAGGGGAGCTGCCACAGGACCCATTGAAGGACACCTGGGGCTGCCCTGAAGACCGAATGTCCACACTGTTGGGGGTGGGGTTGAGTGGGAGCAGGGAGAAACCCATGGGGGTCAGACAGCCCTCACCTGGCCAGGTTCTCCGTCACTCTCCGCAAGGCCTCCTGCTTCTTGGCCCGGTTCTTGGCAGCAGCCTCGTTGGCCATCTTCAGCCCCAGCCGCTCCCTGCGGCCCGGCTCTAAGATCTACAAAGTAGGTGTGTGAGCGCTCACTGAGCTGGACAGCCCCTCACTGCTGGAAGGGCTGACTCTTCCCATGGCCCCCACCATCTCAACAACCCAACACCACCTCTCCTAAAAGCCCCTGAAGGCTTTCAACCGGCTAGCCAGAGCTGCCCACCTGCCATCACGGTGCTCTCAAAGCCAGCACTGCTGAGTTAGGAACCTCACAATCTTTTAGAAAAGAGGGTCTTGTTTTAATCTGCTTCCCTCTGATTATCTTTGTCTTACCAACTTTCTGTATTTCTTTTGAGAACTTCCCAAAATGTGTCCTTGGCCTATTTTTCTAACAAGGTGCTTACCTTGGTTTTTTGTTTGTTTAGCTTTATTTACTTATTAGAGGCCTGGCGCACAGGCGGGGTCCCTCAGCCTTGCCAGCAATCAGGGCTAATCGGGGCCATCTCACCCAGTCCTATGTACCTTAAAATCGTATTAAATATTGACCACTATTTTCTTCTGGTTGTTTTATACTTATTGTTTTCCTACTTAACTTTTCCAAGTTTCTGGAATACAATCTGCTATACAGATTAAGGACCTAGTTTACTTCATTTCCAAATTACTACTCAGCACAATTTGAGTTACCATCTCTAACACACCCTAAATTCTGACTTGAACTGAGGTTTGTTTCAAAATTTTTCTTCTTTTCTATTGACCTGTAGGTTCTAGGACCAGTGACACTCTTCTGACAGATCTATTGCTTTAGTATCGGACAGCACAGGTTCCTGTCTTTCCTCTCTCAAATTTTCCTTGCAACCCAGAAAAATGTCAGAACCGAGGTACGAAAAAGCTCTGTGTACGTACTGTCTAGACATGCTACCTCTCTGAACTATCAAGGCAACATGAACTGTACTACACTGGGGAGGCCACACGGCAGAGCCCACACCCTCGGCGGGGGGAGGGCAGTCAGTGGTGTTCTCCTGTGGTTTCTTTGAAAGCTAAGTTACTCCTGGTTATTCTAAATTTCTGCTGCTACAGTGAGTGATACCAATTTTTTTTGTTGCATTTCAAACTGATCATTGCCAGCATTTAAGGGACTGGTTCAAGATGACTGACCCAGCCTTTTACGCAGGCCTTCTGCATCAATCCCAGACTCCACGCCAATGCTTTGGGGTGTCAGAGCAGACGGGGTAATCCTGCACTCTTTGTCTCTGTGACAACACCAACCTCTGTCTCCCTCGACCTCCCGGCACCCCACAGTTGGTACAGGCAGCAGCCAGCACCCAGATAGCAGGACTGCATGCTTCCTCCTCTCACACCATGCCAGTCGCTCAGTTTCCCCAACGAACTGCGTGTAGATCAGAGAACCTCATCTTCCCAATACCTCTCTGGGACCCCACCTGCTTGCCCATTTGCCCACACCATCCTGGGCCACCCCCATCTCTGCAAGAGGCCTCTCTGTGGAAGTGCACAGCCCTTCTGAGGACATACACCCCATCCCACAGAATGCTGGGGTTCCGAGACCCTTCCCAGCCCTCAGCCTGCAGCACAGCCCGAGCTCCGGGTCTGCCTCTGGGACCACCGGTCATCTCTGGGCAGCCCCATCCTCTGGGACTGCAGGCTCAGAGCAGCCACAGCCATTCCCTGCCTCGATGCCTCGGCCCCACCCCACCAGTTCCTCCTTGGCAAAACTATCCATCCACCCACACCTGTCTTCACTGCCCTGGCACCATTGAGAAGTGCAGTGCCTGAGCAGGTGTGCGGCCTGGCACGTGGCACGGCCCACTGGTCAGTTCTGCTCTGACAGTGGCAGCTGGGCCATCCTCTGTGCACTGAGCTGTAGGTGCTCAGAAGACCACACATCCACTTGGGGTCCCACCTGTGCTCCCCTCACCACAACTCACCTTGAAGGCTGGCCCTGGTGTCCTGTCCACGTAGGGGGTTTCTGATCCTTCAACTCTCACTGGTGTGTTCTCAACCTCTCCCCAGGTCATCAACGGAGACTCGTTCACACCTACAGATGGAGAGCCCACAGACACCTCAGGCTAGGGGACCCAGGTGGGAGCACAGCCTGAGCCCTCCCCCACAATGAAGTCCCCCCATCCACCCCAGCTAACAAACACCAAGGCTGGCATCCTTCCACAGGACTCTGGAACCCTGGCTCTCTGCCCTCTGAGAGGGAAACAAGGCCACCATGGGCCCAAGGCAGACCCAAGCCCCTACAGCCAGGCTTAGGGGAGCTCCCTAGAGAAGCTGGGCTGGGTCAGTGAGGTCCCCTTCCTAGCACAGGGCCACCCCAAGGGAAGAGACACTCAGGGGCTTCCAGAGATGCCCTATCTCCCAGGACCCTGGGCAAACCCCCACATGCCCTTGCCTAGAGCACAAGGGCCAGTGCATGGGAGGGCAGAGGGACAGTGTGTGCTGGGAGACCGTCCCCACGGCTCATACACCTGTGTGAGGAGATGCAGGGCCCAGAGGCCCCTCCTTACAGTGCTCTCTGGATTTAGGTTTGTAAGCAGGGTGCTAACATGAGACCCAGAAACATTACCCTAGGACTGAGGGGGCATCCAGCCCCAGCCCAGGCCAGTGGCAGGAGGTAGGCAGCCTGAGAGAGGCACACAGGCTCCTGCAGCTCCCCAAGGCCTATCCTGCCCACCCCACACAGGCCAGGCACGGCCCTTCAGGCCCCAGGTGCAACCAGCCTCCTGAGACAACAACTTGCCTTCCATGCACACCTACATAGGAAGATGTCTGCCTGGCAGCCCACTGGACTACATTGCCCTCACTGCAAATCAGGCCCCAGGCATCCCCCTGCACCCCTCAGCGTGCTCACCACACCAGTCTGTCCAGCAGAGCCCCAACACCCCTGGTTCTGACAAACTCAGTCTGTCCTGCCCAGCTTAGGGCGAGGGACAGACCACCCGGCTAAACAAACCAGGTCCCACACATCTCAGGTCGGGTCTCCTTATAGTCCAGCCCTGTCCCTGTGGATGGGACACTGGGTCCCTGAGTCACACAAGGTGAGGGGCCGTCCCTAGGAGAGCGCCAAGAGTGGCCAGGACCAACCGAGCAGCCCACCTCCCCCCAGGCCGTCCACAGGTGGGCCCGCTTGGCAGCGGGCGCATTTCTCACCAGGGGCAGGAGAAGGGGTGGCAACAAATCCAAATCCGCCCACTCGAGGGGATTCCTGGGGGATCAGCTCCTTGCCATCGGGGCCCACCTTGCCCTGTTTGTGCTGGAACAAGCAGAGAAACTGTGTCAGGGGGCCCACAACCACCCTCCCCATGGCAGATGGGCAGGTGCACAGGAACAAGTAGAAACACTTCCCAAGCCCCGAGGAGCAGAGCCGGGTCTCTGTGGCTGGTAGCCCCATTGGGGAAAAGTAGGAAGGCCCCTGGCCCCTGCAAAGACCTTGAGGACCTGTCAGAGCAGGTATCCAAAGAAGGACGCGCCCCTCTGTCTCCCCCTCCATGCAGGGTGGGGCTCGGCCACACCCCACCTGGGATATTTCCAGGGGCTACACTAACTATGGGTGCCTGCGCTCTGATTTCTTCCCATAAGGCCCCTGTAAGAGCCTCCAGAGCAGTCTCCCCACCTCCTGTCTCCCACCCTTCAACTCCATGATCACCAGAACCGCCGTCACACGGACTCCCACGCTTGGAAATCTGTGCTGTTTGCCACACCAAGCCCCCCACCACAGCCTACCCCTTCCCTACTTACCCCCTCCCACGCCCAGCCCTGCCTGGTGCAGGGAAGCAGGTCTGGCCAGACTGGCCTGGCTCTCAGCAGCTGACTTTGTCTCATGCCCTTGCCCCCCAAGGGAGCTGGCACCGATCTGGACCCACAGAACGTGTCTGACAAAACAGAGCCCCAATGGGAGACCACATGGATCGAGAACACACAGGACCCTGCCACACAGGGGCCCCAAATACTTCTACACTGCTGAACGCTGCCAAGCCCAAGAACTCATTTAAGAGGAATAGTCAAGATCAAAGAAGTCATTTCTGCCCACAGCCAGCCCGCCGCTCACCTGGGCATTGAGGGCAGCAGCCTGCTGCAGCTGAGACCTGCTCAGGGCCTGGCTCAGGGCCTGGCTGAAGGGGTCCCTGAGGAAGCGAGTATTCTTGTGCACCACCTGCCGGGGCTTCTTAAACAGCTGCTCCTCATCAGGGACGCCTGGCAGACCGAGGAGAGATGGCAGCAGATGTCAGGGGGGTACTCAGGGCCTGAGAGAGGCCACATCATTCCCCGCTGAACAGACACAAGGAGCCGACTTCAGTCTCCACATCACAAAACCCGAAGAAAGCTGGGGAGAGCCTCACTCCCTCGCTGACTTCCCACACAGACCCACCTGCCCCAAACAGACCAGGACCCCTCGGAGGCCCAGAATACTAGGGAACAGAGACACACGTCTTGGAGGCCGGATCCAAACGCCCAGCCCTGCCCACGCCGCCTGCTCACCCTCTGGGTAGTACATGAGGGAATTCTTGGCCTTGTATTTCCAGGTCTCTACGCCGGCCTGGCTGCTCTCAATGGCTTGGTGCTCTGCCGACGGGAGGGCAAGATTATCTTTCTGCCTCTGCATCGCATAAGGAAAAGCGAGGGTCAGAGCGCCCTAGGCACTGTGCCCTGGCCCTGGGACTTGGCCACCCCAACAGAGGGTGCTGCTGCCCCTGCACCCAGGCATACCTTCTCAAACTCCTCCTCGGCCTGGTAGAGCCAGGCATGGCGTGCCCGGCTCTTCTCCTTGGCCACCTCCATGATCTCCTGGAAGGAGGCGTTGTCCTCGCTTGTGTACCGGCTCAGGAAGACATCCAGGCTGGGCAGGGGCTCCTTCTCCTCCTCCTCTCCAGCCTCTCCTGCTCAGGGGTAAAGGGAGGAGGGGGGTGACACAGAACCATAAATGGCACAAACACCACTTTGCATTCTGTGGGTCCCGGGAACCGCACTTACCTACAAGCAGGGCTAGAACTCTCACACCTGGTCCTGGGTCTGGTTGTGAGAGCCCACACTGCCAGACAACTCCCCACCCGGGGGCAGAATCAACCACCCCAAGTGCCCAGGGAGCCTTCAGTGGCTCTCCTCATCTGCTGGATGCCAAGTGAAGTGTGCGATCTGACTCAGACTGGAAGGGGAGCACCCACGCACAGGTTTGCCCAGGGTCCTGGGAGACATGGCAGCTCTGGAAGCCCCTGAGTGTCCCTTCCCTTGGGGTGGGGTGCCATCTGTGACCCAGGTGGGGGTGAGCCCGGAGCCCTGCCACCCACTGCAGCCATCCCCCCAAACCAGGGTACAGTCCAGCTAACAAACACCAAGGCTGGCAGCTGGCCTTCTATCCTTCCCCAGGATTCTGGAACCCTGACATCTCTGCCCTCTGGGAAGGAAACAAGGCCACTATGTGCCCAAGGCAGGCCCAGGCCCCTACAGCCATGGGGCTTAACTTGGAGGAGGGGCGCTCCCTAGAGAAGCTGGACTGGGTCAGCGAGGGCCCCTTCCTAGCGCAGGGCAAGGAGAGTCTCCTAGGGAACACTGACCATGTGACAGAAAGAGGGCACTCACCATCACCATCCTCCAGGCCCTGGCCTCGGCCCTGGGGCTTCTGGCCCACCACTCCAGTCCCTGTGTGCACCTCAGGGGTTTCAAACGTGGCTGGAGTCACATCTGGGGAAAGGGAGGAAATGGGGATTAGAGCGAACCTGAGGCAACAGTTCAGAGATCGATCCCGTCTGTGCCGCCCACAGGCGTCCTCTTACAGGGCGGCGGGGGCTCTCGGGACATCTTGCCCAGAGCAGAGCCAAACTTGATGGCAATCTGGCGCATCCGTTCCAGGTCTCCATTCTCCTCGGCCTCCAGATATTCCTTCTGTGCCTGCAGCTTCTCCACGTCAGGAAAGAAGTCCCTCTGGATGACTGTCTGGAGGCCCTGTCAGGAGAGATCAGAGCAAGAGTCAGAGCTGCCATCCAGGCTCACCTGCTTCTGTCAACTGATGCACACGCTAAGGCCATTGCTGACCATCTGCCCCCCACCTCTGTCCAGCCCAATGCTCCCGAGTTTAGGGGCATCTTCTGATGAGGACAACGTCCCTGCCATGGTCGGGGAGCTCGGTTGGAGCATCCTCCCAGTGTGCCAGGGTTGTGGGTTTGAGCCCCGGTTAGGGAGTCAACCAATGAATGTATAAGTGGGTGGAACAATAAGTCCATGTTTTCTTCACTCTCCCAAGTCAATAAATAAATAAAAATAGCATTTTAAAAAATATCCCATGTGGCTGTAACATCTAACATTACTAAATGCTCCTCTGATTGTCATGAAGCCGTTCTCTCTCCCTTACTAACTGGTCATTCTCATTCTCATCTGCTGGCCCCACTTCCACACCTGCTGGACCAAGGTTTTCATCAGGTTGGTGCAACTGAAGCTGGGGACAAGGCAGATTGCCACCTTCACTCCAACAGTGAGCTCCTGTTTCCAATGTAAGACCTCAGTGACGTCTGGGTCCTTTACCTGGATGACTTCAGACACACACACACACCCGCCACCAGCACGAATTGTGATCCCCAACCCTGCACCTCCAGCCAGACCTTGCTCCTCATCTGTACATTTGCGCACCCAGCTGTCCACTAACGCCCCCTGTCTGTACAGCCTAGAAGCCTCCCAAACTTAACCGGTCCCACACCAAACACATCCTCCAATCGCCTCCTCTAGCCTGTTTGCGGTAGATTTCAAGATGCCGCCACAATCGCAGGACTCCCAGCCTTTGCACTCGCCATTGCCGCTCTCTAGGTCCTCTTTGCCACTGGCCTTCCAAACTCACTCACGCGTTCATAGAAAACCTTGTTTCCCTAATCCCCCACACATAAAGCAGCGCTGCCTCCTCTCTCGCCTACAACACTGCTTCCTCCATCACGGACACCCACCCCCTTCTGCACTGTGCTTATTTGGCTCTCGGACCGTCCAAACCCCAAGGGCAGGGACTCGGGCTGCTTCACCTCGGCGAGAGGAGGAGAGTGCCTCAACCAGTGTGGCGGGGGGAACCCCAGAGGAGCGCGAGGGGGGGTGGGGTGGGAGGGGAGGACCCAGAAGTCGCTGGCGTCCGCGCCGAGGTCTTACCTCGATGTACTCTTCCTCGTCCAAGACCTTTTGCTTCCTCGTCACACCCCCGGCCTCCCCAGCCGCCCGCTTTCTCCCGGGCCCGGACGCGGTGGAAAGCAGCAGGGCCCGGGGAGACGCTCTGGGCGTCTCCATCGCTATCCCAGGACTGCTCAGAAGGCGCGTCACAGCGTCAGAGGGGCGGGACTGTGCCGGCTGCACCAGCGCTTCCAACAGTTGGCCAATGGGAGAACTGCGCGTTTCGGAGGCCGACCCGCGCGCCGCAATGACGTCACTATAAGCCCTCGCCCTTATGGGAATTGTAGTCTTCTTCCCACCGCTCGCTATTCTTATGTACCTGAGCTGTGGGCACTAGGCGGCGCTGTGGTGGTGGAGGGGTTAAGGGGCGTGTCATTCACTCTAATCGTGAAAAGTTCCTGCATTAAGTAAGGCTTTGGCATCCCGATTTTTGGCAAATAATCACTGCATATGCTTCCATATTATCAACAAAAACACACACTTCAAGAATTTTGGTTATATACACGTTTCAAAGCTTTTATTAAAATTTTATGCAAAAAAAATTTATGCAAGAAAAGAACTCTAAGACAATTTTTGATAGTTCTCTAACAAAAGAAAAAAGAAAGCAAAATATGATGGTTCAATAAAGAAATATCTGGTTAAAATTTTTCAGGTCCCTGGGACGGGGGGGAAGAGGGCAATGGGGTAAGAAAAAAAGAAAATTAAAAAAAAAAATTCAGGTCCCTAAATGCCAGAGTGGGCTCCCAGAAGAGGGTTCATTCTCATTGAAGTGGACCAGAAAATTGCCTAAGCATTTTTCAGGACTGATAATTTCTTCTCAAAAGCAGGTTGAGAATTAATGTCAAAAAAGTAATGTCATCCCAACATGATTTAGTACAATAAGCAGTCATTCCTTTATTCACTGGGGATTCCATGGTGATGGTTCCTGCCCTCACAGAGCTAACAGTCCAATGAGGAAGACAGACTCTGGTTAGGCCATCCCACGAACAAGCTTACAACTGCAGTTGACAGGAGCAAGAACAGAGTTTGTGCTTGAGGAATCTCCAATCGGGGAAAGTTTTCCCGGGCAGGGGGTGACTGCAGATCCAAATGATGAACAGGCATTGATCAGGTGGAGAGGGAAAAGCATGAGCAAAGAGCAGCAGGAGGGAGAAGACCTTTGGAAATACAGAGTACAAGGAGCAGTGAAGTGTGAGATGATGCCAGAGAGGCAGGCCAGGCTGCAATCGATGGAACCTTGTGGGTCATGGGGCAATGGGAAGCCCTTGGAGTGCTGTAGTCAGGGGAGAGGCAGGTTCAGACCTGCAGAGGTTATGCAGAATGAATTAAAAAGGAACCAGAGAGGATAGAAGTGGCAAGACTGAAGGTGGCTGCAACGGTCAAGGTGAGAGATGATGGAGGTTTTCATCAGGTTGGTGCAACTGAAGCTGAGGAGAAGGTAGATGATTCTGGGATTGTTTTTGGAAGTTGAGATCAATTTGCTGTTGGCTTGTGTCTGGTTGGTGAGGGAGAGGCGGGGCCAGGGTAATTGCCTGCCCTTTGGTTCATGCACCTGGTATGTACAGGGGGAAGAGCTTGCCTTCGCAGGACAAGGTGACTTAGAGAGCCTGTGGGCTTCCAGGTAAAGTAGTCAAAGGGACAGTTGGCCATAAATATCTAGTTCTGGGGAGAGGCCTGAGCTGGATATGTAAATGTGGCAGCTGAGAATGGAAGAGATAGACCAGGGTGAAAATGGAGATGAGAGGGGAGTGCCTGAGACTCAGCCTCAAGGATACCTACTAGTATATGTTAACAGCCAGCGGTGGAGGTGAGCCTGCCCAAGAGCAGCTAGAGAGAAAGGAGAAAAATCAAAAGGGCAACATAGTCACCGGTCCCTTGAAGATGGAACTTTAATCCTGGCTGCCTCACACAAAGACAAATAACCGCTCAGCCAAGGAGGGCAAAGGTCCAGTAACCCAGCGAGATGAGAGTGTCCCAGCCAAGGCGGAGCTCCACAGGCCGACTGTGCCGTGGCCAAGGATAAGGCTGGGATTCAGGGAAAAGAGCTCGGTGACAGCCAGAAGTGTGCATGCTGGGAGGCGAGGCAACAGCTGCTGTCTTGGCGGCACCCGGCAGTTTTAGGGCGGCCCTGGCTGGGAACACCATGCCTGCTGGGTGTTGTCTGAGCTGGCCAGCCTTGGACAGTCCCAAGAGCTGCAGCCCTGACTTCTGTGACTTTTATGGAAGAACTGTGTCTCCTGCCAGATACTCCTCCCAAACTCCCTCCAGGACCTGTGTCCTCGAGCCAGAGGAGGGGGTGTTAGGTTCCTTGGGCCCACTGTCTGGGTCTACTTGGGGAGCTGAAGTCACATTTCCACACTATCCTCCAGCCAGGGGGCAGGAAGATGGAAGGGAAAGCAGCCATTTTCAAGGCAGTGTGTGTGTGGGTAGGTCTCCCCAAATGAGCCACTTCTTGTCCTACAGGGTGGCAGAGATTGACTGCTGTGAGGGAGGCAGACACCACAGCATGGAAATCTGCCCCCCAGGGAGGAAGCAAAGGACCCCCCCCCCCCATGAAGCAGCACGTAGAGGCCAGTGCAGGCCTCCAGGGTGCCAGACCAGTACTGGTAGGGCAGTCTGCTCTGCTGAGGGGCACCCTGGTGCAGGATTGAGTACTTACTGGACTGTGCTCCCCAAGACAAGCTGCCCGCCCCCCTCCCTGGGAAGGAGAGAGAAGGGACAGGTTCCGGCTGGGTGTAGGAGTGGAGCCAGGGCAGACTTCGGACTCAACTTCTTTTTGTTTTTGTTTTGTTATCCTCACCCGAGGATTTTTAGAGAGTGGGAGGGAGTGGGGAGAGAGAGAGAGAAATAGCGATGTGAGAGAGACACATCAATTGGTTGCCTCCAACCAGGGCCGGGTCTCGAGCCTGCAACCGAGGTACAGAGGTACCGACATGACAGGAATCGAACCTCTTCAGTCCAAGGGCTAACGCTCTATCTACTGAGCTGAACTAGCTAGGCCTAGACTCCACTGCTTTTGTGGTGTTTTAGCAGCTTGTTTGTTTTTCGTTGTTGCAATAGGCTCACAGGAAAGGTCTGAACATGGAGCTGGCAGCAACCCCAGGATGCACAGGCGTGACCCCGCACCCTGCCTCGGGGGGCTAGAGGCCAGGTCCGGGGGTGCAGAGAGGAGGGAGGCCCGCAGGCCCAGGAAAGAAAGGATTCTAGGTCCCCTCTGGACAGCGGGCAGTTCCTGTCCCCTGGGCGGGTTAGTGCCTGGGAGGAGGGGCGAGGAAGCCGACCTGCTCTGTGCCCGTCCTGCCCCCCAGGCCTCTAGCCCGCTGGCCATTGGGCAGCAGAGCGCACCTGGGTCCTCCGTGTTCTCTCCTTTCACGAGCAGGCGGCGCAGGGACACTCACAGGATCCTCACGCCAGGGCACAGGAGGACAGGACTGCCGTCTCTCCGAGCCGGCCCGAGGCGGCCAGGCCGAGGAGCAGCTGGCGAGGATCAGCATCTGTCCTTGGGGGGCTTCTTGGCTCCTGGCAGGAGCCTCGCAGCCGCAGACGCCCGCTTCTGGTGTCGCCATTTGGCCCGGCGGTTCTTGAACCAAACCTGAGGAGGAGGAGCTGCTCAGGCAGGACCCGCGTCCGCCGGGCTCCCAGAGGTGCGGGTCCTGCTGGGCTCCCATGGGGTGGGGGTCCCGCCGGGCTCCCAGAGGTGCGGGTCCTGCTGGGCTCCCATGGGGTGGGGGTCCCGCCGGGCTCCCAGAGGTGCGGGTCCCGCCGGGCTCCCATGGGGTGCGGGTCCCGCCGGGCTCCCAGAGGTGCGGGTCCCGCCGGGCTCCCAGAGGTGCGGGGGTCCCGCCGGGATCCCATAGGTGCGGGTCCCGCCGGGCTCCCATTGAGGGGGTGGTCCCGCCGGGCTCCCAGAGGTGCGGGTCCCGCCGGGCGTGAGGGCGGACGAGCGCTACGGAGCAGGCGTGGGGTAGCAGCTGCGGCCACGGTCCGGGTCGTGGGGACCGGAACCCCTTTCCCACGCGGACCAGCCATCCCTCCCCAATCCTCTTCCACCCCCGTCTCCGCCCCGCGGGGTCAGGGCGCCCCTCCTGCTGCTCGTTGTCTTCTGAGCTT